CTCTGTACTGGGCCCACTGTCACTAGTAGTGTTACGCAGAGCTCTGTACTGGGCCCACTGTCACTAGTAGTGTGACGCAGAGCTCTGTACTGGGTCACCCAGAGCTCTGTCACTGTCACCAGTGGTGTGACGCAGAGCTCTGTACTGGGCCCCACTGTCACCAGTGGTGTGACGCAGAGCTCTGTACTGGGCCCACTGTCACTAGTAGTGTGACGCAGAGCTCTGTACTGGGCCCGCTGTCACCAGTGGTGTGACGCAGAGCTCTGTACTGGGCCCACTGTCACTAGTGGTGTGACGCAGAGCTCTGTACTGGGGCCCACTGTCACTAGTAGTGTGACGCAGAGCTCTGTACTGGGCCCACTGTCACTAGTAGTGTGACGCAGAGCTCTGTACTGGGCCCACTGTCACTAGTGGTGTGACGTAGAGCGCTGTACTGGGCCCCACTGTCACTAGTAGTGTGACGCAGAGCTCTGTACTGGGCCCACTGTCACTAGTGGTGTGACGCAGAGCTCTGTACTGGGCCCACTGTCACTAGTGGTGTGACGCAGAGCTCTGTACTGGGCCCCACTGTCACTAGTAGTGTGACGCAGAGCTCTGTACTGGGCCCACTGTCACTAGTGGTGTGACGCAGAGCTCTGTACTGGGCCCACTGTCACTAGTGGTGTGACGCAGAGCTCTGTACTGGGCCCACTGTCACTAGTAGTGTTACGCAGAGAGCTCTGGACTAGGCCCACTGTCACCAGTGGTGTGACGCAGAGCTCTGTACTGGGCCCACTGCTTTCCATAATATACACCAGCGACCTGGATGACTAGTAGTGATAACAGGTTTGTGGACGACAAAAAGATAAGTCATGTAGCGAAGACAAAAAAAAAAGAAAAAGCTAATAAACCAACACGAACGCCAATACTGGGCGGAGAAAAGACAAGTGCAGTTCAATATTGTATTTTTGTATTTTATTTATATATACAAGAGTTCTTACAGTCTCGTGCAGCCACTAGCACGAACAGCGTTTCGGGCAGGACCTTAATATTAATTTTCTTCGGAATACGACGCGCCAAATTGTTTAATGAGGTACCCATTCACTGCTGGGTGAACAGAGGCTCCAGTTAAGGATTGGCGCCTAGTCAATCCTCTCCGGCCAGAATACGAACCTAGGTCAAAGCGCTCGCGAAGCACCGGGCGGGTGCTTTACCACTGCGCCAAGCAGACTGCCCCTGCTCCTGATAACATTGATAAATGCAAATTCCGTAACCCAGGTAAAGGGAGTTACGATATATATCTCATCAATAATACTGTCATGAGTTGATCAAATTGTGAGAGACTTGGAAGTCATAGTTAACAGCGACATGAGGCAGAGACACCAATGCATCTATGCGGGAAAGAAGCCAACAGTGTGTTGAAATTTATAATAAGAAACATCAACCACAGATGAATTAATATCAACCTCCAGCAATGGTGAGGCTCCACTTTGACTATGCTGTGCAGTTCTGTTCACCGTACTTCAGTGGGCATAAATTCTAGAAAGAAGACAAAAAGTTATAAGATGACTAAAGTCTGGTATCAGAATTTTTCATATAATTCATTTACTCGGGGTCAGGAAGCTCTTATTTATATGTATATATGTATGTAAATGAGAAAGGCTGCAGGAATGCGCCTGCGTTCCAGTTTGTTCGGGGTACACGACGTTCCTGCAATGATCGTGAGTCTGTGTACTTCGGACAAACTGGAAAATCCTTACAATTGCGTTTGTCCCAACATGTTTATAGAATTAGAACTTCTAGCGCAATGTATCTACACACAAGTTGGTGTGATTACACTATCAATTGAGGAGGAGCGAAATGCATTACAAATTGCAGCAGTTTCGTGGAACGGAATTTGACTGAGTCTGCCCTTATCAGTCAGTGTCCATATCTTCTCAATGTTTGTACTGGTATGTACAAACTTGACCCACCCCATTCCTTTTGTCTTTTGTTGTGTTGTACTAGATATTTAAAGATTACAAGATTTACATTAGTTAATACAATAGCGTTTAGAGGTTATTGATCTCTTGGAGCTCCTCCGCTTCCAAACAGGAACCGAGGATGCAGCAGGCGTTTCCCCTCTGGATCGCTACACTGAGGCGCTGAAACCGGAAAGTGGCAGCCCTTGGGTCTCTGGTGATGTCAATGAGTCTGAGCATCATACCTTTGAGGAATCCCAAGGCACTCCTACCCCAGGGGCCATGTGTCTCAGACGCTGTGGTAACAAGGGTGTGTTGACCTTTCAGTCGCCTGTACTTGATTGATTTTGCTGTTTCCCTGTGGTTGGCCGCCCCACCTGCTTGATCAACCTTGTCAGCCAGGATGGATACACATGTGTAGACCCACACCAGCTGTCTTCCCCCTCTTCCAGGGAGATATTGTGATGTCATCTGGGCGAAATGCAGGGTCATTCGGGTTTTGACCTCCTAGGATGCGTGGTTCTCTCTCTGCTGGGCATTGAGCCGAGACAAGACTACTCCTGATAATGTCACTGACCTCGTTGTGTCTTGCATGCAAGCCCTTACACTTTCTGCAGTGCAGCCCATGCAGTCCATACTGGTCTGCAAGACATAACTACGTGAATGACATCATCAAGAGGAGCCTTGCCTCAGTTCAGTGCCCAGCGGAGAGAGAAAACCCTGCATCCTAGTGGACCAAAACCCGGATGACCGTGCACTTCGCTTAGATGGCATCACAATATTCCCCTGGAAAAGGGCCAGACAGATGGTGTGGGACTACACATGTGTATCCACTCTGGCTGATACCTGCATACAATTAAATATGACCGAAAAGGTAAGATTAATAATTCTATCACGAATTTCCTCAATATATCTTATGTTTCTTTTAACTGTCGATGGTAATTGAAAAATCAATTCTCCAAAATTCATTTATATTTCTAGTCTGATGAGACGCCTGAACGCGTTTTGCAATAACTTATTACATTTTCAAAGACTTTAGTTTACACACACAACTGTAACCTGTAAACACGCAATAAACATTCAAACTTGTACTCGCATTTGGGTGAGGTGATATGGTACAACAGTTCTGGGTGAGGTGGACAAACTTGTGACAAGCACAAGACAAAACACGAAACAATGGGTACAACTTGGATAAGAGAACATAAGAATGGAAGTAACTGCAGAGGGCTTATTGGCCCATACGTCCTCTTGATGCTTCTATATTGATTCGGAGTCTTGAAGTAGGTAGAATATAGTTGTGCATTAATTGGCTGTTAATTGCTGGTGTAGACTTTTTGATGTGTAGTGCCTTGCAGATGTCGAGCTTCCTGCTATCGCTGTATCTAGCGATGATTTCTGTGTTGTTTGTTAAGACTTCTCTGGTGATGGTCTGGTTGTGAGAAGAGATTATATGTTCCTTGATGGAGCCCTGTTGTTTTGCATTTTTAATCGCCTGGAAAGAGACGTTGTTGTATTGCCTATATACTGAGTTCTTTGGGGCTTACAGTCCCCAAGTGGGCATTTGAAGGCATAGACAACGTTAGTTTACTTTAAGGCATTCTGCTTTGTGTCTGGAGAGTTTTTCATGAGTAGGTTGGTCGTCTTTTCGGTTTTATAGTAAATCGTCAATTGTATTATCTGATTTTTGTCTGTAAGGCTAACGTTCCTATTAACAATATCTTTTAGGACCCTTTCCTCCGTTTTATGAGCTGTCGAAAAGAAGTTCCTGTAAAATAGTCTAATAGGGGATACATGTGTTGTGTTAGTTGACTCTTCATAGGTTACATGGCGTTTCACCTTTCCTTTTGTGATGTCTTCAAGAAAACCATTAGAGGAGCCGTTGTTGACTAGGACCTGCCTTACCCTTCATCTTACCTTCTTCATCGACTTGCTTCCGTCCTGAGCTGTGGCTGAGAGCACGGTCGATGTAAGCGTTGACAACACTCCTCTTGTACTTGTCTGGGCAGTCACTATTGGCATTGAGGCACATTCCTATGTTTGTTTCCTTAATGTAGACTGCAGTGTGGAAGCCTTCGCTCCTTTCCGTGATCGAAGCTGCCTAGAAAGGGCAGCTTCCCATCTTTCTCCATCTCATAAGTGAAACTCAACACAGAATTCCACTCAAATGCCTCCTTCAGCTTCTACAGACGTCTGACATCAGGTACCTGTGTAAAAATGTCATCAACATACCTGCAGTATATGGCGGGTTTCAAGTCCATGTCAACTAAGACCCTCTGCTCAATGGTAACAATGTAGAAGTTTGCAAACAGGACACCAAGGGGAGAACCCATATTATTGTTGATATATTATTGAATGTGACCGACAGGGTGATCAGTGATTCTAGCGCGAATCTTCTCTATTCTCTTTACATTTTTCTTCGCTGAAGATGGAAGTTGAAAACTGAATTTCGGAGAGTTAATTTTATTTTGTGTGACGCTGATGCTAAGAGATGCGTCTAATTAACTCATATTAACATTGTCAAAGGCAGAATTCGAATGATAAGGCGAGCGTATACTATGGGAGGTAAACACAATATTATTAAAAATCATTTGCCAGTCTTCTGACCATATGTGGAGGGAGGTAAACACAAACCCTCTAATGCTGGTGTTTACCTCTCCTGCTTTACGCATTTCACAGTTCGTTTGGCATTTCTTATATATTGTTTAATTGTGCTTTATAGTTTGATAAGCTGATATTGTAGATGCCATTTTCTATTTTCAATTAATTTCTACAAAACTTTCTTATCTCCCATAAGATTCTTTAGTCCAGTGGTCACTATTATTGGACTTAATCACTGTTGATGGTCTACCACTTAAATAGACATATTAAGAAGAATTTAGTCACATTACCATGGATGGACGTGATCAATATTCTGTCCCTCATGGAGAGTCATCACGTCTCCCTTGATGATAATCTTCGAGCCTCGCCTCATTGTTCCTCCCTTAAAGCGCGTGTTTAATAATGAGGAAGAATGTGAGTGTATGAGTGAGTGAAGTAACGTCATGTCTGTCTCCCTCACAGCCGGCCTCCTCACCTTCTTCCTCCTGGCGGGCTTCCAGTGGAACACCTCCATTTGCCTCGAGGCTCTGCTGATAACACTGTAAGTACGTCTGACTTTATAATATATACATGACTACCTGCAGATGTATATACTCCTGCCACAGTACCAGTAGGATACATAGTGTGTACTCGTGAGGTAGTATTTGTATAGTAGTATCCTTATGTATATACTCTCTTGATTTACTACCTTCTTGTATGTATTATTTGTGTTTGAATAATCGATTTTTTAGCTCTCGGACCCCGCCTTTCCAAGCAATCAATTTTTCCTCTATTATATATACTACATATATTTCTCTCTGACACACGCACACATCCCGAGGAAGCTACCCGTAGCAGGTGTCTAACTCCCAGGTACCTATTTATTGCTAGGTAAACAGGGGCATCAGAGTTCAAGAGACTTTGCCTATTCATTTCCGCCTCGGTCGGGAATCAAACCCGGGCCCTTAGGACTACGACACTTGAACGTTGTCCACTCAGCCACTAGACCCCACAGTGTGTGTGTGTACTCTCCTGTCCTAGTACCTGCATGTGTGTACTCTTCTGTCCTAGTACCTGCATGTGTGTACTCTCCTGTCCCAGTACCTGCATGTGTGTACTCTCCTGTCCTAGTACCTGCATGTGTGTACTCTCCTGTCCCAGTACCTGCATGTGTGTACTCTCCTGTCCTAGTACCTGCATGTGTGTACTCTCCTGTCCTAGTACCTGCATGTGTGTACTCTCCTGTCCTAGTACCTGCATGTGTGTACTCTCCTGTCCTAGTACCTGCATGTGTGTACTCTCCTGTCCCAGTACCTGCATGTGTGTGTACTCTCCTGTCCCAGTACCTGCATGTGTGTACTCTCCTGTCCCAGTACCTGCATGTGTGTACTCTCCTGTCCTAGTACCTGCATGTGTGTACTCTCCTGTCCCAGTACCTGCATGTGTGTACTCTCCTGTCCCAGTACCTGCATGTGTGTACTCTCCTGTCCCAGTACCTGCATGTGTGTACTCTCCTGTCCCAGTACCTGCATGTGTGTACTCTCCTGTCCCAGTACCTGCATGTGTGTACTCTCCTGTCCTAGTACCTGCATGTGTGTACTCTCCTGTCCTAGTACCTGCATGTGTGTACTCTCCTGTCCTAGTACCTGCCTGTATGTGTACTCTCCTGTCCTAGTACCTGCATGTGTGTACTTTGTAAACTCTTGTCCTAATGTCTGCTTAGTGTATGAGGAGGAGTGTACCCATGTGTGTACTTTGTAAAGTCCACTATAAGGAGGAGGAGTCACTATGGAAGCTTGGAGATGAAGGAAATAGCTGCGAATTGTCAGAAATTTATTTCTTCTTGCTCAGTCACAATCTTAAATTATTCACAAAAACAATGAAGCACTAGAAGCCAAAACTTTCAACATAACTTCAGAATATAAGGTAATGTCTGAACCGTAAAACAAACTTGAGAGAGGAGTAAAACTTTTTTTGGCCGTGCAGTAAACACCAAGCTTGACCAGCTCATCCCAGAGGTGTCTAAGAAAAGTGAAGCAGACGTCATTGTTTTCTATGAAAGAGCCATAAGATACTTAAATAACAGGTATAACTTCTCTAAAAAGCGACTTTCATAACAAAATATCAAAATTGAGCCTAACAAATACCAGCGGCACTGATACAAGTAACGGGTTTGTTCCTATTTCCACCCTTAATCTCTTTCATATTGTTTACCCAATTTCTGGTCCCGTATAGCAAACCCTTAACCTAACCCCTCCTCTTTCTGGCACAAAAAAGTTCTATCCAAATACCTCACCTGGGAATCACCCCACAACCAAAATTCGCTGACTTACTTCCTTAATCGGCGCTCCGTTCATTGCCTTGTCTTTCGTATGCACTGCAGTCTCCCCTGTCTCCCCATAGTATTCGTCCTCCAACGTGGCGAATGAGTTGGAGGTCATCGCGAAAGCTGTCGCGAAAGCTGTAAAGACCTTGTTAGAGTTTTCCTGTCCTATGTGACACTCCACGAACATAAACATATAAGAATTATGGAGAATTATAAGAATTATATACATTGTTTTGTGTTGATATATTTATTTTGTGTTGTATTGAAGCTAATTGGTAAAAGGAACAGGGAAGGAGAAGGGCCTCAAAATAGCATACACTTAAAGTATATTATACGAACAGTAGGAATCTAAGATACAAATTAAACGATTTAAATGATCATGTCTGCATAGAAACAATATATATTATTGCAATTACCGAAACATGGATAAATATAGAAAACGAAACTATTAGCTGATTATACAATAAACGGATTTAAACTATTTCATACAAAGAGACAAAGTAGACAAGGAGGGAGAGTAGTCATATACGTCAGGGAAAATTTGAAATGTAATGTCAAAGAAGGAATAAAAACAGTGTCACGCACAGAAACTATTTGGTTAAAATTGAACGTAAACGCAAAAAATCGTATAATATAATTATGTATTATAATTTTAATATATATTATATCTTAAAATATAATCTTATAATACAAATCTTATAATAGGTATCCATTTTATATACAGGCCACGAAAGTTAGAATGGAAGCAAAGCTTCCATTCATCCCATTTCATGAAATGAAGTGTCTGAAGCATCTAGGTCAAACAATATTTGTGTCATGTTTATTCCACTTTAATTTAAGTGGAATAAACTGGCTTAACAGAACGGAATACCAAAGCAGAAGATTTTTTGGAATTAATTGATGATTGCTTCCTTGAGCAACACATTATGAAACCAGCTTCGGGAAAATACTATTTTAGACTTAATGTTAACTTTAACAGACAAATTAATGACAGAAATATGGCGTGAGCTCGGAAACAGTGATCACAAGCAAATCAGATTTAGCATAGAACGGAATAGATGTGTAAGACTGAATTCTGTTAAAGTGCCAGACTTCGGAAAAGCTGATTTTAATGAGCTAAGAAATTTCTTGGGTGGAATATATTGGACAGACCTGGGCATGGGGGAGCGGGCCTGTCTTGGAGCGAGACATGAACCTAGCGATGAGTGAAGTAACAAGGGATTGAGATGTGGATTAAAAAAAAAACTTATTTAAAAAAAATTCAAAGCAAAGCACAGGAAAACAGTATACCATACAAATGGATTGGATTGAATAATAATGACCCGAAATGGATAAGTAGGATTCCTTGATTGTTTCAGGTATAGGTTAGACATATATATGAATGAGTTTGGGTGGATATAAATAGGAGCTGCCACCTATAGACCAATTGGCCTTCTGCAGTTTCCTTGATTCTTATGCTCTTAAGTTCTAAAATATATTATATTTAATATTAATACATAAAATCACAATAACGTGATATATCAAATGAACAAATCCACAAGGGCCGTGATGAGGGTTTGAACATGCGCACGGGAGGTTCCCAGATGTGCCTTAGTCAACTGTACCACAACATGGTCAAAATTGGATTTGTTCATTTGATATATCATATTATTGTGATTTCTGTGTGTATTGAAGTAAGGGCGTTGAGGTAGAACATCTGGTTGACAGAGCCCGGGTGCTTGGGGGCATTGTGTGAAACCCCCGATTGGGCTTCGGAGAAGCTTTGGGATCCTAGTGAGGACAGTAGCACTCCAGGTTGCAATTCTTTTGACCATGTAGTGGTACAGTTGACTAAGGCACATCTGGAAACATCCCGGGCGTAGGTTCAAACCTTCATCACTGCCCTTGTGGATTTGTTCATTTAATATTAATATTAAAATTTACCTGGAAAAGATCATGAGGGCAAATGGGGGGACCTTCGACGAACCGCCGGCTCCCTGTCCTCGTCGAGGCCACTTGGGTTAGTGGCCCTCAGGTAAATCAAGGTAAAGGTAAATCAGGTTCTTATGATAGTGAGTCTTCTTCCCTGTCCTGTTTATTTCTCTCCCGATTTTCGTATCGTCGGCAAATTTGCAGATATTACAGCTCAAACCTGAATCTAAATCATTTATGTATAACATGAATAACAGAGGTCCCAGGACAGAGCCTTGAAGCACTCCACTTACAACATTTTCCCACTCTGACTTAACTCCATTTATACTAACTCTTTGTTTCCTTTGATATAGCAATGACTTAATCCAACTTAATATAGCACCCCTCAATACCATGAGCCTCTATCTTTTTAATCAATCTTTCATGTGGCACTGTATCAAAAGTTTTGCTAAAGTCAAGGTACTCAACGTCACAAGCCTTTCCACTATCAACTGCCTCAAATATGCTGGAATAGAATGATAGCAAATTGTTAAACATGAACGGTTGTCAATAAAACCATATTGTGAGTCATTAATGAATCTATGTTTTTTCAATATTAAGAGGAATAGCTATCGCAGTTATTGATTCAAGCAATTTTTCCACAATTGACGTTAAGCTAATTGGATGATTGACGCAAGTAATCTATCTTCTTTCTTGAAAATTGGTACCACATTAGCAAACTTCCAAGACTCTGGCACTCTTCCTGATTCTAATGATTTATTAAATCTGGTAGACAACGGCTCGCAAAGCTCCTCTTTGCATTCCTTAGGCAAACACTTCGTCGGGCCCTGGGGATTTGTTTAGCTTGAGTTTCACTATTTGTTTAATAACATCCTCCCTGGTAACTGCTATACTCGTCAACCTGTCCTCTTCCCCACCAATATTGACTTGTCGTATTGGCTAAAGGCATAATGTTAAGTTCTTTAGTAAATACAAAGATAAAATATTGATTTAAAATACAACTCATCTCTTCGTCATTATCAGTAATCTGACCTGTCACAGTTTATATTGGACCAATCCTTTCCCTAATCTTTGTTTGATATAACTGAAAAAAAAACTTTAGGATTTGACTTTTCGTGCCCTGCTATACGAATTTCAAAGTTTATTTTTACCTCCTTATCTCTTTTTTTTTAAATTTCTATCCAGTTGGACGAATTCTTGTTCTAGACTGATTTCCCCTTACCCAATCCTTTTGTACCAAACTTTCTTTTTACTTATAAGGTTCTTCAGATCCATTGTTATTCATTTCGGGTCATTATTATTCGATCTAAATAATTTGTATGGTA